GCCTGAGCGTGAAGGACCCCTGCAGACCACGGTCGGTGAGTTGCCAGCACGGCCAGGCAAGGTGGACAACTGTGTCAAGCCCCCTCCCACTCATGGATGCAGGTGACCACTTACTCCAGATGTGGACGTCTGGGGCTCATGGAGTCTCTAAGAGTCTCTGGAGCAGAGACAGGTGTCCAGGGTCTGCTGAGAGGCAACCCTTCCCAGCACCCAGGGTCTGCTCCTAGTCTCTAGGGACAAGGGTCCAGGCCATGGAGGTCACGTAACGCCCACTGACACAGTGAACTGGCCTGCAAAGATCTTAGGGAGTCAGGGGCCTCCATTCTTACCTCCTGTGCCCCCTCTGCCCACAGAAGGGGGACTGGGGACGGACCATGGAGAAGCAGAAAGAGCAAATGGGGCTGCTTAGAGTCCAGGGTCAGGAGCCCACCTGAGCATCCTGCAGGCACTCTCTCTGGAGGCTGGCTCAGCTACCAGACCTCAGTGGGGACTGGGGCTGCCCCCAGGGAGAATGCAGGAGGGCTCAACCACTTACCAAAGAGGGGCTGCTCCAAGCTGGGGAGTCCACAGCCACCAGCGTCTCCAGGTCCAGCTGGCAGTCCCAGCCAGTGCGGCAGCCCTGTGGCCAGCAGACTGCAAGAGACAGGGAAGGGAAGGGCTCAGAAGGTGGAGCTGGGGTCTCAGTGCCTCCTCCCCACCCCTTCTCTTCTGTGTCCTGTGCCCCACAGTCTGCCCCGAAGGCCAGGCAATAAGGGCTCTCTCTGCCTGCTCTCCAGATCCATCCCTGACTCAGCACCCCAAACAACCCAGTGCCATCTCTGATCCTCTGAGTGTGGCCCTCTGAGTCCTGGACTGTATCCCACTTTTACCTTCCTCGCCCACCCCACCACCTCCTTCTAATAAACCGCAGTCCTCTGCTCACACCAGAACCCAGCAGGCAGGGAGGCTGGCAAGGTTCTGCATTTTAAATCCATGAAACAATCCTAACCCTTTAAAATTCAACTTGTGCAGCGATTCCCCCAGGAAGCGGGTTAGCAGAAGTCGGCAAGGGCAAGGGGGCTCACCCCAGGCCTCCAGGTCGAAAGGGCGCCTCCAACACAGCTGGGGAGAAACTCTTCTTCAAACCACACCGAAGTGACACCAGCTACCTGAAACTCAAAGCAAAAGTGGACCAGGGAGCATTCCTGACCTTGATGCAACTCACAGAGTCTGAATTAAAACACCAAGATCATCACGTTATCTCCTTTAACATCTATTGTGCCAAGCCCCTTCCCTGCATCAGCTCATGTCCTTCTAGCAAGAACCAAATGTAGAAGTCAATATCTGCCCACTTCACAGGGGAGAAAGTCGAGGCACAGAGGTAGATGAACCGGCCTGAGCTCTCAGGCCTGCTTTAACCCTCATCTGGTAGGTTCCCCAGAGTCCATCTCTTTCCCTCTAAGGAGATTTGGCTTCCTGTTCCTCCAGCTTAAACGTATTTGGCCTCCAAACATGCATTCCGTTACTGGCCCCAGCCCATTTGTGAATCAGCATGACGGGGACTGGGCAGGCAGATGCTTCTGAGACTTAAAGCATGTTCCTCCCTTTGCTGTCTGGTCCTGTGGATCTGTTGGTTCACAGCTGATGGGGTGAACTCAAGTGCTTTGTGAAGATTCTTCCCACACCTCACTATTTGGCATGACTCCTTTGGGAGTGGGTGAGTGGATCCTCATTTCCCAAACCCGCAGTGCTGCCTGGCTCAGCTCACCCAGCTTCTAGCACCGTGTTATTCCCCATAAGCACTCTCGGAGGTCAGGGTCCTCACTCCCACTGTTCAGATGGAGAAATCAAGTCCTGTTTTAAATAGGAAATTTCACTTCTTTAGGAATCAGTGTCAGATCACCAAGTGGCAGGCAAGAGGGAAAGAGGAGCAGTTTAGATTCTTAGGAACTTCTCAACGTGATCAGAGAAAAACCGCAATCCCAACCACACTGCATCCCACCCCAACCTCATCCCATAGTGGCAGAGGATGCTGGCCTCCATCAGGGGGCTGGGCCAGGTACCCGGGGAGAAAGACCCCTCTACTTTAAACCCGGCTCCCCTGCAAGTGCAGGCCTGCTCTGCCCAAGTGCCCCAAGGCGAATGTGAATGGCTTTCAGGAAATAGACAGGGAATGTCATCAATAATAGTGCCAGGTCATAGTTTTAAGTTATTTAGGAGTCTGTTCTTTGGCTGCAGCATCATTTCATTTGGATGCACTTCCTTTGTATTTATTCACAGACATCTATCAGAACTCCTGTATGTGCTGGGCACTGTTCTAGATGCTATGGGTCAAATAATACCAAGGAAGGCAAGCACTTGCTGGGCATTCACAATGTTCCTCCCAGGCACATGCTTCTTTCACAGCCATCAGCTCATCGTACCCTCATGCCAGCTCTATGAAGTTGATACTGTCACAATCCCATTTTACAGATAAGGAAGCTGAGGCCCCTCAAGGTTAGATAACTTCCTCAAGCTCATATCCCTAAAAAGGAGCCAGGATTCCAGCCCAGGCAATGTGCTAGGAAGTCCGTGTTCAAATCCTTTTCCCTAATTCCACTCATATTCCACCCTCCTTGGTCCTCATCAAGACAGGAAACAGAATCCTTAAGGAGTCTTCACTTAATTCTGGGGTTCCAATTCCAAAAGCAGAATCCACCCTAGGGTTTTATTTAAAGAGGAACATCTTGCCATCTTGCTAGGGAGGGGGCCATTTGAGTTTCTTCCCCCAACTCTTCCTCCACCCAGAGAAACTTAAGGCCAGGACTGGAAGCTGCTGCTTTGCTAATAAATCAGAAGTCACTGAAGCAGCTGGATGTTATAAATCCCTAAGACAGTGAGACTCGGCCTCATAAAGGTGCGGCCTGGACAGCGGGGAGGGGAATGCGTTTGAAGGCCCAGCCACAGGCCATTTCCTTGTACCCCCGGGGATGGCAAAGCCTGGGCATGGGAATCGGAAGATGGGGGAAGTCCAGCCCTCCTGGAAATGCCCCCACTCTCCCAACCTGGCAGAGCTGGGCCCGGGGCTGGCCAAGAGTCCTTGGTATGCTAAAGGCATCTGCCCTGGAAACCAGAGGCCCTGGGGCCAGGTCCTGTTGTTCCCAAGGGAGCCTTAGCCACCGCAAAAGACTCCTCAATGCCCTCATCCTCCCAGCCAAACCGTGGCGCCCAGAGCCCATCCCCTAGGCTTCTAGCAACCTCTGACCTGGCCTCCCTCTACCTCTGCTTAGTAAAAATCCAAGCAAACCTTGGATACAGGAGACGAGGATCTATCATTTCTGTTAGAAAGCAGGCAAGTTGGTAAACCTTTAGTCTCCATAGAAAGCTCAGATTTCATTATCAGCCAACTTGAGATGAGGGCACAGACTGGGAACAGTGAACAGCTTTATGTTGGAGAACTGTAATTCACAGTAAGCGCTCACACCCTGAACCATGCCTACCTGGATCTGTCACTCAGCAGGTGTGTGGGCCTGTGTGATTCACCAGCTGTCCCTGAGCCTCAGTTTCCCCATGGGCTGGTAAGAATTGAAGGTCTTAAAGCATTTAGTCAATGCCAGGCATACAGACACGATCCAGCCTCTGACACCAGCCCTGCTGATCCCAGCTCGGCCACTTACTGGCTGAGAGATCTTGGCTAGCTTTCTTCATCTCTCTCTGGGCCTCTGTGTTCACACATGCAAAAATGGGGATAATTATAACAAGGCTGTTGTGAGGACTAATTAGTGAGTACAGTGCCTGACGCAGGGTAAGCACTCACTAATAAGCACTCACTAAATGTCAATTAGTATCGTCATCAGTAAATGTCTGCTTTGCTTTCCGTCTCAGGAAAGGGCCTAGAACAAATCATCCTGCAGCCCACGGGGTCTGGTTCTACCCACCGCCCCTTCTTCCTGCAGTTCCTCTCCTGGCCTGGGAACTTCTTCCTGCTGAGCCACCGCAGTGGCTTTCCTGCTGCCCTCTAGTGACCACATCCTGCGGTGCCGCCTCGTAGTCCCATCACCGCTGCTGTATTCAGAATTCTGGGACTGTTGGCTACAACCTGATGTGAGGATGCAGCCAGCAGGAGGTGATGTCGCAAGATGCAGTGAGGTGTGAGGATGGCACGCCCACCCGGGCTGCGGCCTCTGCTCGGTACACCCCCACCTCAGCTGCACCGGGAGAGCCCAGCAGCAACAGGCAGCCTCGCCTCCTCCCAAGGGCCTCTCCTGCTCATCTCATGGTGCTCTGTCAGGGAAGGAGCACAGACCTGAATGTCACAGGCAGGATTGGCCCACACAGCCTCTGCCTTTCCCTGGCTGGGTGACCTTGGACTCAGCCCCTGGCCTCTCTGTGCCTGGGTTACACCATAGATCCAGTGATGACTGAAGGGCCTCCCGGCTCTAACCGTGGTGTTCTCTATAATCCCGGAAAGGCCCCAGACTTCATTCTCAGGCACAGTTGGGGCCACCCACACAGCAGACGGGGGAACCCTCCATTGGGAATGGGAAAAACCCAGTCTTCCTCCAGGAAGATTCTAGGGCTGGGCATCTCTGTCCCCCACTCAGCCTGATCTGTGGCAGACCCAGGGAGTGGAGGCCTTAGAACCTAGCGGTGCTGCCCTCTGCCAAGTTAGCCCCACATTTCGCTGTAGAGAAATCCCATGAAACCCAGGGCTGAGGCCTTGTTTCACCTGTTCTGGGCCACAGACCCTTCGAACCACAATCCCTCCCCTTAGAAATGCCACTGGTGCCCACAATTTTACACACACAATTTAGAAGTTTCCCAAACCTCTGAAAGCTCGAGCATGGACACCCCACCCTTTCCCAGAAGCTTAACCCCTTCCTTATTAGCATGTCCAGGGGATTATCTTTCCAACTGACTATATCAGAGAAGCCTCCTCAGACATGAATATGCTGATAGAAACAGTCACTCAGCACATATAAGTTTCAAAAGCTAGAGCCAGAAAACACATGTGTAATAGTACACCACCATTTCAGATTTGTTTAAGGAGGTGGACATGTATATTTGCATATATGCATAAACAATCACTGAAAGAGCTTGCACTGAACTAGTAACAGGAGATGCCCCAGATGGAGGGGGCCTCGAGAAGACTGAGGTAGGAGGAGACACTGTCTACACTGAACTTTTTTATTCAGTTTGAGTTTATTAATTTTGGGGGACACAGTGAAGCCACTTCATGTAGGAAGTAGAGAAGTGATTGATGACAGGGTGTGGTACTGAAAATCAGCCCTGGCATCTCACTGTGCCTCCCACCCTACCCCCGGGCACTGCCAGCCAGCTCTCCCCACCCCCATTTCCAAGGCACCAGGGTCAAAGGCACTGCTTTTCCACCAGAAATGGGCTTTGTCTGCTCAGGTGGGCCACTAAGGACAGTAGGCAGCTGGGGACTGCTGAGACACAGGGCCAGAGCTGAACTGAAGCTGGATTTCAGAGGGGGCCTGGGGCTACAGGAGCAGCTGAGCCCTGGGTTGGGGAAATGACTCTTCTCCCAGCAACTCCTCCCTGAAAAACTACTGTGAAGCCCTGGGGGATGAAGAAGCAACACAGTGAGGGCGGGGGAAGAACCTGAACATCGTCTTTCCGGACAAACTCAGGAGCCGTGATGAATGGGGCCCCAAGGCTCTGGGGTCCCAAGAACCGGAGCGAGGTATAAGGGAATGGGGCAGGGAGGGAGGAGCTGGCAAACAGGCCTCTAGGATGGAGGCTGCAGAGAGGAAATGCTTACTCCCTGGCTCTGACGTAGCCAGCACTGATCCACCGTAAATGTTTGTTTAGTTAAGACTAAAACACATAAAACAGCAAGGTGTTTTTCTCTAAGGAAAACGAGGTGATGAAAATGAGGCAAGGCAAGGGGAAAACAAGAGTGTAAGAGTCTGAAAGAACCAGAGGCCAAGTCAGTGTACAAGAGTCACACCATGTGTGGGCTACTGAGCTAAGTCAGAGCTTCCTGGCAGCCAGTAGGAAAAGGGAAATATTTCATTTACTTGTTTCACAGGACCCATGAGATAAAGATTAAAGCATCCACTCAAGAGATATCCAGCTATTCCTGACACTGAATTCAGTGCAAGATTTCTCCCGAGGGAGCTCTTACAGAGCCCTGTGCGTATGCCACCATGAACCCGTCCTCAAGACT